CACCTCCACCACCTCCACCTCCCCCACCGCCTGCACCACCGCCACCTCCACCGCCACCCCCACCTCCCCTGCCACCCTTGCCGCCCCTGCCGCTGCTACGCTTCCCACTAGGAGCGGAAGCAGCCCCGACCTCCTCAGCACCAAGGTAGTCGTGAGCAGCAGCTGCGGAGGCATAGGAGGGGGTGAGAGGGGAGGGGGAGCACCCTTCAAAGAGGGGAGAGCGAGGAGTGCCACGAGCAGCACCTATAGCGAGGATATTCTTCTCTGCTGCGAGGAGGTGCTTCTCGAAGTCATCGACAGCGAGAGTGGGGGAGTCTAGCGCGAGGAAGTGGTCCCTGACTGAGCTAAGAGTGTCAGGGAGGCGGGTGACGAGGAAATAGAGAGTGAAGTACATCGGGGGGGGTTTGCGGCGCAGAACTCGGCTGAAAGGGCGGCACGAAAGCGAGTGTCAGTAGCGCGCAGGTGGGAAATGAGGTCCTCAGCAGTGGTGAACGAGGAAAGGTCGGGGAACAGGTAGGGTAGCATGAGCCGACCTATGGCTGCAGTGGCCGGGGAGGAGTAGCGCGCAACTACAGCGTCGTACAGCTTCTTAGCAGTTTTGTGCTGGCTGAAATGCGCGTGCTCAGTAATCGGCAGATGGTTCCTAATCGCTAGGCGTGCAGCAGCATCGCGGGTCTTCCACTGCGAGCGTTCGAGAGCAGGAGCATCGGCAGCAGGAGCAACGGCCGTGCCAGACACGTAATCGAACAGTGAAACGCCCTCTTTGGCATCGGTCAGAAGGAACAGTTGGAGATCATCTAACCACACAGCGAACTCTATGGGGCGACCGTCAGGCTCGAACGCGAGAACGTTAAGCGTCGTCATAATGGCAGCAGGCAGAGGCAGGAGGCAGCAGGCAGTAGACAAGTGGCAGCAGGCAGCAGGCAGGAGACAGCAGACAGCAGACAGGAGCGGCCGCATGCGAGCTCCTAAAGCAGCACGCTAAACAGCAGCGGGCCACGCAGGTGGCCACGCTGGCGACAGACGCGGCGCGCGGGGCGACGGCGGGTTGGACGCGACAGCGGGCCGCGAGCGGCCGACTGGACGCGCAGGCTGCGGACGTGGCGCGCGGCGCGGCGGCGGGCCGCGCTGGCGACTGACGCGGCCGCGCGCGAAAGAGTGACGCGCGCGCGAGCAGCCGAGGCGCGCGCGAAACAAAAAAAAAAAAAATGACGCGCGCGAGCAGCCGAGGCGCGCGCGAGCAGCAGGCAAGGCAGGCAGGCAGTTACGGGTGGGCCCTATTCATAGGTCCTAGAGACCTCCTGCTCTAGATACCATATCGAGGCTAAGGCAAGGATGATGTTTACTAAGATGAGAATGATACAAGAAGGAAAACCCTAAGGGTTTGTACTCTACAGTGAGTACCCCACTACAGCCTACCCAAGTCTAAAACATAGATATATGTTTGACAGAGAAGATCCCATCACTGTTACTAGGGTGTTGCGGATTGGGAGGGGGATGGTTGTACTGCAAGTGTAGTGTGATCCGTAGCTGTATGTGCAGTGATGCATTTCAATCCGTCTCGTTTTCTAGGGGGTGTGCTGCCTCATTTTAAAAAATGGTCCGCTTCAATATTTCAGCCTCTACAACAGTGTTTTAAAACCAGTGAATGATTCTTTTTGTGAGACGTTGGTGATACTTGCCCATATAGGTGCATCATTTTAGCTGCCATATTGTATATTTCTATCTTTATTCACTTCCCTTCATTTTCCTAATGCTCTTCTGTACGTAAGAAATATTTCCATGTTTTCTTTTCTCCCCTTAGTACGCCATTTCGTAGAGGAGCGTACCCATGTACGCATCCCAAACCCGAGCCTCATCCCCAGCCAGGCTCGGCTGTCCGTAGCACAGCAAACAAAACCTACCTAGCCAGTTCAGTTCTGCCCCCAGGAACCACAAATTCTGGTTACGAACCAGGCTCGTTTTCCCCGAGGCAAGCCACATCCCCCACAGCCAAGGGTGTATGTTTGAATTGAACAGCCAGAGCCTACCACACACAGATTCTTCAAGCTGCTTGTCTTTGAGTTACTAGGGTTGCCTAACCAGAATTCCAGGTATGAATTTGTGAATGGCTTTCCATGTCCTACCGACCAAGCTACTCTGTTACGTAGCTGCTTGTGATTCGTCCGGCTCCCGAATGGAAGGACGAGATGAAACGAAACTGCAATGGCGAACAAAACGGAATGCAGCCGTCCTGCCGTGAGGTATCTCACATGCCAGCTCAGTTTGAGAACCTTCATTGCCTATGGAGCCTGCCACCTTTTGGTCTTCGAATCATGCTAGGGATGCTGGTTTGGCATTCTGGTCCGGAGACACTAAACAGCCACGGTTTCCGCAAGCCCCTCAATCTTACCTTCTAACCTTGGGGGTCATTCACGGGAGTATCCTGCCAGACCTTTTCACCCAGTCAGTGACAGAGTTTTCGTGCTTCCTTCATAATATACGGAACGAACGGCTTCAGTTTTTGAGCCAGCATCATAATCGAACGCTCCGGTAGTATGGCGGCCATGTCGCACATCGCGTCGGCCGTTCCGGGAGTATTGCGCATCTCAACCGTCCATGTAGTGGACCAGCGGGAAACAGCGTCACCATCTCTGAGCAGGAATTTGCGTTATCAGCTGACTCATTTCAAAATTCAAGCCTTACATGCTGAGTGCCGTGCGTCTGGCATCAATAAAAGCTTCAGCAGCAGTAGCATCAGTAGCAGCAGCTTCTTGACTAAGCGTTTTTTTGCAGCAAGGCCGTCTGGAACTCTCAATGACCTTAGTGGCTCTCGGAAGGTTGTTGCTGCGTCTGCGTCTGCGTCTACTCCTGCTGCTGCTGCTGCTGCTGCTGCGAGCAGCTCGCAAGGACCAGCAGTGTCGGAGGCAGTCATTGTGGGTGGAGGGTTGGCCGGCCTCGCAACTGCTATTGGCCTCCGGAACATTGGGATTGACGCGCAGGTGGGGTGCTACCTTAAAGCTGGAATTGGGTAGGAATGCTTAACATTGGGATTGATGCGCAGGTGTGGTCACCCTACCTTAAAGCTGGAATTGGGTAGGAATGCTTAACATTGGGGTTGAGGCGCAGGTGGGGTGCTACCTGGAATCAGGGAAATATGTTGGATTCAGGTAAGATTGTCAAATAAAGTGGATAGCTAGACATTACGATTCACGCTTAGAATGCATATGGGATAATTGTTCCATGTAACATGTGACCATTGCATGTAACATGTTATAGCGCATATGGTTGTGCGCTGTCATTGCAATGAAAATGTCCGTGTACTTTTCCGCGTATGTCGTTGCATGGCATCCCAGTCTCAACATATCATCCATGCGACAACAAGAAGAATTGAGTTTCACATGCCATGCCATGCCATTCTGTGCCATGCCTGCTATCCCATGCTATATCTGATGCCATATGCCCAAATCCAGGTGTACGAGGGAAGGGATGAGGTGCGAGGGGTGGTCTTTTGAGACGTCCAAACCAAAAAGCCTTTCCAATAAATTCCTCATGCCTCATGTCACTTGCCATGCCTCATGCCACATCCCCATGTGCAGGTATACGAGGCACGGGACGGGGTGGTAGGCGAGGGAACCCTCATCACGCTCTATCCCAACGGGCTCAGAGCACTCAGCAGAATCGACCCTGCCATTGTGCCCCAGGCATGTGCCAGTGATGTATGCATGTGATGGATGTGGCTGTTCTGTGATGGTGATGGTTATCGCTGCGTGTGGGAGTAATGGCTGCATGTGATGGTGATGCTGGCAGCATGTGATGGTGATGCATGCATGTGATGGTGATGCCGGCATGTGATGGTGATGCATGCATGTGATGGTGATGCTGGCAGCATGTGATGGTGATGCATGCATGTGATGGTGATGCCGGCATGTGATGGTGATGCCGGCATGTGATGGTGATGCCGGCATGTGATGGTGATGCCGGCATGTGATGGCAGCTCATATCTCGAGGAGTACCGGACCCCACCATTCTTGGCCGCTCTCCAACCGGCGATATTCTTTTCCAGTGGGACCTTGGGTCCAACATGACGGCCCGGTTTGGCTTCCCCCTGCTGAACATCCTTTGTTGTTCGCCTCCTTCCCTTCCTTGCCTCCTCTTCCCCTCAGCTCATAGCCCGAGGAGTACCGGACCCCACCATTCTCGGCCGCTCTCCAACCGGCAGTATCCTTTTCCAGTGGGACCTTGGGTCCAACATGACTGCCCGGTTTGGCTTCCCCCTGCTGAACATCCGCTGGCAAGAGGTCTTAGACGTGTTGCTTGGGATGCTGCCGAACGACGCCGTCCATGCCGGGCACAGGCTCGTGGGGTTTACGCAGGGAGAGGACGAGGGTGGTGAGAGGAGCGACTTGGTGAAATGCGTTTTCAATGATATTTCGGGCGGTGAAGAGCGGTTGCTTGAGGTGGAGGTGAGCAGAGGAGAGGAGGTGGAGAGAGGAGGAAGGTGAGGGATGGTTTTGTGTGAAGGGTGGGATGGGGGGGGAGACGGAGTGGGGGAGCGGGGGGGAGGGAGGGAGGTGGCAAGGCAAGAAATGTATTAATCACACGATCACAAGAGTTCTCGAGAACTCTCAACGACGCTCTCTTTTGATCACACGATCAAGAGCCGTGGGACTACTACCTCCTCTTTTTCTGCTCTCCTGTCCGCCAGACCTCTCCTCCTGTGGGGGCAGACGGCAACCACTCTCTGCCTCGTCATACCCCTTTCCACCGCAATTCTCCCCTCCTTTTCTTCCCTCCCATCCGCCAATCCCCCTTGCTGCTGGGGGTGGACGGCATTCACTCAGAAACACCCTCTCGTGCTCTCCCATGCTCTCTCCTCGTCGTCGTACCTGCTACTACCTCTCTCCACCGCACTTGACTGGCATTTCTTTCCCTGAACCTCCCCATTCACCCTCTGCCTCGTCGTACCACTTTCCACCGCACGTCACCCCTCCCCATCTTCCCTCCTCCCCATTCGCCAGACCCCGCTGCTGCTGGGGGCAGACGGCATTCACTCGGAGGCACGGAAGCAGCTGCTGGCGGGGACAGCGGGAGAGGAAGTGAGTGTGCGGGACAACGGCAGAACCCATTGGAGGGCCATCATCGACAGTTCCCTCTGCGCGCACCCCGTATGTGCCCCTCTGCCCACACCCTGTGTGCCTCTCTGCCCCCACACCCTGTGTGCCTGTCTGCCCCCACCCGCTGTGTGCCTCTCTGCCCCCACCCACTGTATGCCTCTCTTCTCGCACCCAGTAAGCGCCCACCCAGTATGTGCCCCTAGACCCCCACGTATGCGCCCGCTCCTCCTACCTAAAGTGCATTGTGTGCTTTCAAACAGTGGCTTCAGAAACATCTATGTGCGACGGTGTTTGAGTTGATTCTACTAAAAAATTCCATTGTGTGACGGTTTTCTAGTCTGCTAAAATATTCGTAGTTTTATCCCATTCCCGGCCTTCACTCCCCTTGATGCAGCTAGTGCAGCCACGCCAGGTGAACACCATAATCAGCGCGGTCATACTCAGTGATGACCGCGCTGCAGCCGTGTTTTGAGTCGACTCAAAGGATGACACCACCTTCCCTTCCCTTCCCTTCCCTTCCCTTCCCCTCCGTCCCAACAGCTGGTGCAGCCACGGCAGGTAAACACCATAATCGGTGTCAACCGCACTGCAACCGTCGCTGATGCCGGAGCAGGCAAGCTCTACTGGTCGCTCGCGCTCGTTGATTCCGCCGATCCAACGGTCAGCAGCGAGCCGTCCGGCGGGGGGAAGGAGGTGCGGGAGAAGATTCTGCGAGCTTTTGATGGGTGGGATGCGGTGGAGAAGCTGGTGAATGCTACTTCCCCGGAGCTCATTCGCGAGAGTCGCGTGCTCGACCTCCCGCCCCTGCCCTTCTGGGTCCACGGGAGGGTGGCGCTTCTGGGAGGTACGGCTCTCTTGTTTCTCGCCCTTTTGGGTCCACGGGAGGGTGGCGCTTCTGGGAGGTACGGCTCTTATGAGAGAACTTGGCGCTCCTGGGAGGTATTGCCGGGTGATGGTGTGTGGCTTGTCGTGTCATGTGTGGCTTGTCGTGTCATGTGTGGCTTGTCGTGTCATGTGTGGCTTGTCGTGTCATGTGTGGCTTGTCGTGTCATGTGTGGCTCTTTATTTGTGGCTTGTCAGATGAAGGCGAGACATGGTACGAAGGGTGATGTGTGGGATGTCTGAATAAAAAGCTCACATATTGTAGGATGTATGAACATGTGCTTAGCTCTTGATTCAACTCCCTGCTTCCGCTCTGCTTTCCCACTGCCCTCTGCCTTCCGTTCATCACCCTCTGCTTTCCCCCCCCTTTCCCTCTGCCCTCTACCTAACCTCTGCCTGTCCCTTCTGTCTGCCTGTCTGTCCAGATGCAGCGCATGCAGTGACGCCAGCGCTGGGCCAGGGGGGGAATCTGGCATTTGAGGATGCGGCCCAGCTGGTGGAGTGCCTCTGGGCACACTCGCTTGTCAGGTGAGTTCTCAGGTGGGCTGTCAGGTGGGTGCATCCCCATGCCAGGTGGGTTGCGACTTGGATAGCCAGGTGGGATGCCATGTGGGTGTGATTACACGCCAGGCGTTGGTGATGGGATGCCTTTATGCAGGCTTTAGGAGATTCTTTTCCATGCTTTATGACCTGCAACAAGGTGCATGCGAGACGAGTTGGTATCGGAGAATTCCCAAAATCCAACTTCTCTATTGCCCCATGGCATGCACCAAGGTGCATGCGTATGCCCGTCACATGTTTCTGCATGCACCCATCGTCCCTTGCTCCCTCCCATCCTCCTATCCGTCCACTCGCCCTTTGTTGCCTCTTCAATCCCACGCCACCAGTCCATCCTCCTCCTTCCTTACTGCTTTCTCACCCTTGCCCCTCAAACCCTCGTTTCGGGATCTGTCTTTTGACATGTCTCAAATCAACGCCTCTTTCCCACTCCTTCCCTAACCCCCCAGTGACGCTCTCCGCTCCTTCCAATCACTCCGCATGTCACGAGTGCAAGCGGTGTCAGCACGGAACACTGCCCAAACAAAGAAGGTGTTTGACAAGAAGAAAGAGAATAACGCAGCAGGCGGTGATGGAAGTGAGGCAAAAGCACCGCCAAGGATTGAAGAGGTTCAAGCGGCATCGGCTGCAGCATCGGCACGGGCGGGGCGTGATCCTGACGAGGAGCTGTATGGTTATGACATTGTGGTTTTGGAGTAGGATGTGCGAGTGTTGTGCAGTGATTTGTTTCAAGATGTCTCGTTACAAGTGGGGCGGGGTGATCCTGACTAGGACATGTATGGTTATGACATTGTGGCTTGACAGGAGGATTTTTGTGTCGCAAGTGTTGTGCAGTAACATGCCCTTGCTCAAACAGAGAAACAGAGTCATATGGGTACATGCGTGCATGGAGCTAAAGCCTCTCAAGGACCCTTCAAGACCAGACGATTCAAGAAGAATTATCAAAAGGAACTGTATCATAGGAGTACAGGTAATGATAGAATTCAGAATCTTCTCCTCCCTTTCCTGCCGCCGTTGCACCTGCCGCTGCTGCTTCAGAACGCATGGAGGTGAAACCCCTCAAGAACCTTTCAAGACCACTCTCAGTTGGAACCCTCAAGGGGAAGTGTATCATAGGAGTACAGGTAATCATAGAACTCAGACTCTTCTCCCCCTCCCTTTCCTGCCGCCGTTGCACCTGCTGCTGCCTCAGTTCCCTTGCTGCTATCCCTCTCTGTGTCCTCTTCTTCTTTATCCTCGTAGATCTTCTTGGACGATGCGACGTTCTGTGAGACCACGGCTTGCACACGAGGCATGCGGATGGACTGGAAGGATTGCAAGGCGTCACTGCAGGAAGGGTGTGAGGGGGGATAGAAGGGGGGAAGGGTGGTGTATATTCAGTCAACTCAAAACACACAGGGACTGAAAGATTTTAAGGCGTCACTATTGAAAGGGGGAGGAGTGGAAGGAGGAAACGGGAAGGAAGAGGAGAGTGTGTAGGGGCTTGAGGAGGGGGGGAAGTGGGGGGAGGGGATGACGAAACAGAGTTCGAAAGGAATCAGGTCACCTGCAATCCACCATCTAATGCAGCAACAACCACATGGCATGCGAGTGCGCGTACCCGACAATCCACCTGGCAACCCATCTGGCATGGGGATGCGCCCACCTGACAACCCACCTGGTATCACACCTGGCAAACCACCTGGCGACCGGGTTGCGCCCACCTGACACCCCACCTGAGAACCCACCTGACAAGCGAGTGTGCCCGGAGGCACTCCACCAGCTGAGCCGCATCCTCAAACGCCAGATTGGCCCCCTGCCCTAACGCTGGCGTCACTGCATGCGCCGCATCTGGACACACAAGCGGGTGAAAAAACAGGAAGGCAGAGGAGACGTCGAAAAGAAGCTGTCGAGACAGGAAGGCAGACGAGATGTTGTGGGAAACACGTGCAGACAAAGATTGTTTTCCTGCCCCAGCGATGCCTCACTGCACGTGCCGCATCTGGACAGACAGAGGACGGTGCAGGCAGAATGCAGAGGGTAGTCCACTGATTGCAGCCAAAAAAAAAAAAAAAAAAAAAAAAAAGCCCCCTCTAGCAGATGTCGTACCTCCCAGGAGAGCCGTCCTCCCTTTGACCCAGAAGGGCAGGGACGGGAGGTCGAGCACGCGGCGCTCAAGAATGAGGTTGGGCGGAGTGGCGAGCGCGAGCTGAGTCACCACATCCCACCCCTCAAACGCCCGCAGGATCTTCCCTTGCGCCTTTTCCCCCCCACTGGACCGCGCGCTGCTGACCGTCGGATCGGCGGAATCGACGAGCGTGAAGGCCCAGTAGAGCCTGCCTGCTGCGGCGTCAGAGATGGTTGCTGTGCGGCCGGGACCCACCATGGCCAGGATGTGGCGAGGCTTGAGGAGCTGAGGGATAAGTTGTGGGATAAGGACCGAGACGGGATTTTAAACAGGGTTGAAGAAAGTCCCAGTAGAGCCTGCCTGCTGTGGCGTCAGAAATCGTGGTTGTACGGCCGGGCCCACCATGGCCAAGATGTGACGCGGCTTGAGGAGCTGAGGCAGGAAGCTGGGGGACAAGGAAGAGGGAGGTGAAGGAAGAGAAAGGTGGGAGGAGATCAGAACAGACAGGGCAATATGGAAAACAAGACGGCTGAATTGAAAGTCAAGGCTCATGTAGAATAGGAGTTGCGACAGGGATGCACGCAGACGCGCACATACAGAAGGGGGAGGGAGAGGCACACATACGGGGTGCGGGCAGGGGGGCACGTACTGGGTGCGGGCAGAGGCTGCTGTCGATGATGGCCCTCCAGATGGTTCTGCCGTTATCCCGCGGACCCACTCCCTCGCCTGCTGCCCCACCCATCCCATTCACTCCCTCGCCCAGCAGCTGCTTCCGTGCCTCCGAGTGAATGCCGTCTGCCCCCAGCAGCAGCGGGGTCTGGCGAACAGGGGGGTGAAAGAAAAGGGTGAAATGCGGTGGAGGGAGGTATCATGTGTGGGGCTAGGGCATGGGGGCAAGAGATGCCCTTTGAGTGGATGCTGCCTGCTCCCAACAGCAGTGGGGTCTGGTGAACAGGAGGGTTCAGGAAGGGAATTGTGCGGTGAAGTGTGGTGGAGAGTGGTACCACAACGAAAGAGAGGGCATAGCAGAAAGAGTGTCGGTCTTTGCGTATGGCGGGTGAGCGGAGGAAGTGCTTCAAAAAGGGTTGGAGTGGCCAAGAGAGAGGAAAGTGCCCAAGTGGTTCCTGGCATCAACCGTGTCTCCCCCCATACCGAGTATTGTCACCAACCCACCTCCACACGTACAAGATGCTCATTGCCACACGAAACAGTGGAGAAAAAGCATTCCACCGAACTCCACCCTTTAAAACCCACCTCCACGCGCACGAGATGCTCGTTGCCACACGAAACAGTGGAGAAAAAGCACTCCACCATGCCTCCCCCCTCTGCCACGCCATCCCTCTCCACCGCACCGGACTCCTCCCCATTCCTTCCAGGCTCCTCCCTCTGCGTGACCTTCACGAGGCGGTGACCAGTGTGTACGGCGTCGTTCGGCAGCATCCCGCGCAGCACGTCCAGCACGTCGCGCCAGCGGATGGAGAGCATGGGCAGGCCGAAGCGGGGGGTCATGGTGGCACTGTAGCCCCACGGGGCGATCATGTCTCCTGAAGGCGAGAGGAGGAAGCTGGCGGGGTCTGTCACTCCCAGAGGAATCAGCTGGAGGAGAATGGGGTGAAGGATGGATGGGGACGGCAACATGAGCCAAAGGGGAATGGAGGGAACAGCAGGAGCGGATGGCGAGCATGAGAAAGCAGAAGCGGGCGGTCATGGTGGCACTGTGAGCGGTTGTTTTTGAGAATTCTCAAAAACACCCTGCAGTAAGCGGTTCTTGAGAGAACGCTCAAAAGCCACCTAAATTACTGTTGTGAGCTGCAACCTGCAGGCATGCATCTGGCGCATCACCTCAGCATCAGAGTTGATTCGGCCGCATCTGATGTGATTGCGCTCAGGGCGCATCTGATGTGATTGCGCTCAGGGCGCATCTGATGTGATTGCGCTCAGGGCGCTCAACCGAATAAGTAGCATCTGGCGCATCACCTCACATCATTTGCCTGGGGCACAATCGCAGGGTTGATTCGGTTGAGCGCCCTGAGCCCGTTGGGGAAAGAGTCCGAGGAGGCATGCATGCAACTGCTACTCATTATCACATGCATGCAACTGCTACTCATTATCACATGCATGCAACTGCTACTCATTATCACATGCATGCAACTGCTACTCATTATCACATGTAAGCATCACCAACACGCACAGCCTTGCCATTACTATCACAAACGACGTACCTGGGTCACGATGGCAGGGTTGATTCGGTTAAGCGCCCTGAGCCCGTTGGGGATGCATGAAGGCTAATCAGCAGCACCATGTGTGGAACACGACCAAAATGGACAACCAGCTCGCACATGCAGCCATTGCTATCAGGCTATCACGTACCTGGGGCACGATGGCAGGGTCGATTCGGTTGAGCGCCCTAAGCCCGTTGGGAAAGAGAGAGATGATGGTGCCCTCCCCCCCTCCCACCTCCTTGCGCGCCTCGTACACCTGCAAGCGGGATTTGAGACAGGACATGCTGTTTTCGATGAGCTTTGAGGTTTTTTCAAAAGAGAGAGAGAGAGATGCTGGTGGCCCCCCCTCCTCCCACCTCCTTGCGCGCCTCGTACACCTGCAAGCAGCGTGGCATGGCAAGCAGTTGCGGCATGGCATCAATTGACGGCATGGAAAGCAGTGGCGGCATGGTATGGTGTAACGGCATGGCAAGCAGTGGTTGGCATGTCATTGGTTGACGGCGTGGCAAGCAGTGGTTGGCATGTCATTGGGTGACGGCGCGGCAAGCAGTGGCGGCATGGCATGGTGAGACATGCATGCGATATGGGCACCATAGCATGGCATGATGTGACATGCACGTGATATGGGCACCATAGCATGGCATGGTGTGACATGCACTATGGGCACCACAGCATGGCATGGTGAGACATGCATTATGGGCACCACAGCATGGCATGGTGAGACATGCACTATGGGCACCACAGCATGGCATGGTGAGACATGCACTATGGGCACCACAGCATGGCATGGTGAGACATGCACTATGGGCGTCACAGCATGGCATGGTGTGACATGCACTATGGGCGCCACAGCATGGCATGGTGTGACATGCACTATGGGCGCCATAGCATGGCATGGTGTGACATGCACTATGGGCACCACAGCATGGCATGGTGAGACATGCACTATGGGCGCCACAGCATGGCATGGTGTGACATGCACTATGGGCACCGTAGAATGGGGGAAAAGGGAGCTGGCTGGTACTGTAGCAGTCGTGCTGGTACTGTAGCAATGGTGAATGCACAGTAGCAGTGGTGCTATCACTGTGGCACTGCAGCTGTGGCAGCAACAGAGTAGAGTAAACCCAGGTGCAACCAGATACACTGTGCTGTTTGGAATCCCAAGTCTCTCACCTGTGCGTCAATCCCAATGTTCCGAAGGCCGATAGCCAATGCGAGGCCGGCCAACCCTCCACCCACAATAACTGCCTCCGACACTGCTGGCCCTCCTGAGCCCGTGCTGCTTGCGGAAGCAGCAGCAGCAGCAGCAGAAGATGCAGAAGCGGCGACATCCCTGCGGCTGTGGTTGGCACCAGGAGCAGCAGACGCCATCGCTCTCTTGAATCTGCTGCTAATGCAGCCGCTCCTACCGTTGCTGTTCAAGCAACCTTCACGAAAGCTGGAGGACAGGCTTATAGAGCTGCCAGGCGTGACGCACACAGCATGTGATGCGCGTGCCTTGAATCGAACAGTCAGAGGACGGGGATTGTTGCTTGGTTGTACACGTGGTATACGGGGTCTTACCTGGCGATCAAGCAAGCACACCTTTGTGGGGCCTGCTGCTAGTCCGTAAACGCCAGAAACAGCTGCTGCAGTCATAGCCGATGCGCGTATCGAGCTGCTCTCTGTGAAATCGCTGATTTTGGAAAGAAAGAAAGAGAAGTACTGATCGTTACTGAGCACTATGTTTTATGCCAAAGCGACTCGACCCAGGGACAGTTAACCACTTATTCCAGGCGTAGGAATTTGAGACCTGCCTGGTAGTACCACGCATTGATGCGTTAAGCGTTCATCTCGAAAGGTCGTCCCTGTCCAATCAATTCCCCAGTCATCTGAACGTAGTAACATCGAGTTTTGGAACATGTTTCCACGCGTTTGACACTGCTATCGAGTGCCATGATTGCGTGCTATTGAGAAACAGGACCTCAGAACGACGCTTCTTCCCAGATGTCGCAACAGAGTGGATCAAGGCTCGAGACATCGTGAACAGATTCGTTCCTGAACGTCCAATTCCGACTGAGACCATCTCAGTCTTGACTTGGACGGAAAGGACGGGCGACAACGAGACTCCTCGAAACGAACGTCGTCTCGAGCTATCCGAGGAACCGCGACTGGCCCCCCATGCTCCACATGGAGCCGCGAACAAGGCGGGCCGTCCTAATCTCACGAAAAAAACCTTGCTGCATATGATGACATACGCAGCTATTGTTTCTCGCCCGATTGCCCTTGTCCCTAGATTCTCCCTTCCCAGATTCTCGCTTGTCTCGGGATTGCCGAAACAAGCCGACTCGTTCATGATACAGTCAAGCGTCGCTCTACAGTAAATCTACAAGCTCTTTTTGAGCCAAAGAACTAGCTTGTATATCACTAGGATGCAGAAACCTAACAGCCCAAATTTGGCTAGTGCAACATGATTTACACTGCAATATAAGGAAGGAACAGATGTATAAATTAAATCAACACCTTGGTCAACCTTGAGGCTAGAAACTGCCAGAATCAGCCACAGCAGCAGTTCTTCTTCAGCCACTTGCTTGGCAGCACTGTAGCATGGAACCTTTACCAAACCAGTCAAAAGTCAACAACCAGGCCTCTGGATAGGATTTGGGGTACTCTTTCTCGTAAGGCCAACACCCAGCCTTTACTCTTTCAGTAAGGGTGCTTCACAGAAACTGCTCTTAAAAGTCAGGGTGTAAACAAATGAAATAAACGGCTCTCCAAAATATGTATTTCTGGTGTTGTAGTGTGTTGATTCATCGCAGTTATGTGGAGAACTAAGTTCGATACCCAGCGCGGGCGTCCTACGCGAAATTGTATTTTTTAAACACACATAGTGTTTTTCAAAATTGTGTATTGTGAAAGCGAAGCTGCTTGTATTGCACAATTGGCATCGTCGAAGCGCGCTAAACGCCCTTCTCCAACTACAAAAATCGTGGGTTGGAGCTCATTTCCTCCACCCACGTTTCTCTATTTTCAAACGGCTCACTCAACCTTTCCGCTCACGTAGTTTATCCCTCCGTCCAAGCTGGCTAGGACAAAATCGCTTCCTAGAGGCGAGTCACCCTCGACTATACTCAGCGACATTTTTAACTTCAATCGCTCAACGATGGCACCGACGCCGACACTTAACAACGAGAACTCGTCCAACCCCGCTTCCGACTCCGACCGCAACACCCGCGATTTGGCGAGCGAACGCCGTAACAAGCGACGGGCAGAGGATGGACCGCCCGCCCCGACTGCAGTGGACGTGCTGCTGGGCGGGCTCGAGGTCAACAAAGGGGGTGACGCCCAGCAGCACCCTTCGGCGCCTGTGGCGCCAGTGGCACCTGCGGCGCAAGTGGCGACGGCTGCTGGCGCGGCACACGCCACTGACGCCGAGCACACGCCAGCACCCGCGGCTGGACCGTCGCGTCAGCGCCAGAGGAGGCGGACGGCGGTCTCCTCGTCTGACGCGACGACCGCCCCTGCGTTGACGCAGGCGTTGACCCCGGACCAGGTCAACGCGCTGCTATCCCTTCTACAGCAGCAGCCCGTCAGCGTTACAGCCGCGGAAACTGCACTACCGGCTGCATCTGCGTCGGCTAAAAAAGAAAATACGAAAAAGGAAAAAGGCACGCGAGGAGCAAGGACGAATCGGCACGACAACGACGCAGCGACAGCAGCGCCCCCTGCTCCAGCGGCCGACAACGACACAGACGACTCTGAAGATGAAGCCGGTGAGGCTCCAGTCAACAATGTTAATTTTAATGTCACAAAACACCTTCCCCCCCTCCCTTCTTCTAACCTCACATTTTCGGCGGCGACATTCGTCAATGACTCCGTGCGAGAGCAAGCGGAGCTGCTGGAGGACTTGCGTGCGTACCTGCTGCACGCGGAATACAAGGCGCAGCGCGGGGACCCGGCGGGAGGACTCGAACTCATCTCGCACGCTCTCAACCTCATCTCGGGGCGTTTCGAGGTGCTTCAAGTGGAGGACGCCTCCGACTTCCGCACGGCGAAGCGCTTCAAGTTGTACCAGCAGAAGAGCCTGCTGACTTCTCGACCCTTCAAGCAGGCGGTCGCGGACATGGCGGTGATGGACCGGGCGGCAAGCGGATACGCTCGTGTCAACCGCGGCGGAAACAACGCGCCGATGCCGTTCTTACCCAAGCGGGGCCCCCCGCCCACGGCCAATTGCCGTGGGTTTCGGGGCTCGTGCTTCCGTTGCGGCCAGCCGGGCCACGTGGCAAGTGCCTGCCCTAGGAACGGGCATGACGGCCATGGACCCGCTCCGGTGGTGTAGGAGCGGGCCATGGCACTAGGCGCTTGCGCGCTAGGCACCGTGCACTCTTGAGTGCGAAAACATGAAAATTTTTGAATTATATTTCAAAATTTAAAGATTGTGACAAGACTTGTAAAGGAGCATGCAGTAAGGAGTCAAGTGCTCCTTATCTTGTGGCAGGTCCACGGACCTGCCACCTAGTCCATTTCATTCCACCTATGACGACTGCTCTGCAGACTCCTTGAAGAGTCTTGTCTTAATCGTGGGTAACCCTAGGGGTTTGCGATGGCAAGAGGCCAGTCCTAGTGAAGGGTAGAAATAGGCTTTGGGCCTAGGATAGGGAAGGGGAACAACAACCCCCTCGGTCCCATGAAGTTGGCCACTCGGTGGCGCGATGCATGCTAGGAAAGCATTGCTATGTGTGTTGGTTGATTAATGAATAACTCCTTCTCAAAGGCCCATTGATTTTGGCAAAGTCCCTCCAAAAAATCAAGAGGAGGTGCATAGCAAGAGAGAGAGAGAGAGAAAGAGAGTATGTGTGTGTGTGTGTGTTTGTGAGAGAGAGAGAGAGAGAGAGAGAGAGAGAGAGAGAACGAGATATAGCACGGTGGACAAGCATGTCCATGGTCCCAAGCATCAGCCTTCATGCACTAAAGAGCAAGGGAAAGAATGTGAGAGAGAAAGAGAGAGAGAGAGAGAGAGAGAGAGAGAGAGAGAGAGAGAGAGAGAGAGAGAGAGAGAGAGAGAGAGAGAGAGAGAGAGAGAGAGAGGAAGAACGAGATATAACGAGATCAAGCACGATGGACAAGTGTGTCCATGCTCCTAGGCATCAACCTCCAATGATCGAAGGGCATGTCCTATCGATTGAACAAGGAGGCGAGGCAAAAAAAAAAAAAAAAAAAAAAAAGGAGGTGTTGCGAGGAGAGAAACAAGAAGCGACGGCGCGTACCCGACATACTTGTTGACATTTCGATAGATTGTCGATGTTGTTAACATCTTGATAAATGGTTGCTCGTACATGCATACGGATGCTTTGAAATGAAACACCCAATGATCACCCCATTTTGCCTCCACTACACAGGAGCACGACGGTTCGAGGTGGTATGCTACGACGATCCGTATGAATTCGCCGTTACGGACAAAACTATTACACAGATGCGAGGTCGGCTTCGTGCGACCTTTGCGTGGTGGAGTTCATGGTGCCCATGCAGCCTTGTCCTCTCCGTCATCGCCAAGGGCTACTGGCTGCCATGGAGCCACGGCCCACCACAGCCCTTCCACGATCGCAACCATGTCGGGGCGAACACGCATGCCACGTTCACACGTACCGCCATCCAAGAACTCATAGAGACCGGAGCAGCAGTCCGGATGCCCGCAACGGAGCTTACGTGCATAAGTCCACTAAACGTGGTCGAGCAAAAAGACAAATGCAGACTCATTCTTGACCTGAGGAAAGTCAATGCCAACTTGATTGTCCCCAAGTTCAAGTACGAGGGGCTCAGCCGTGTGGCCGACCTGGCACGCGTTGGGGACTGGATGTTCTCCATCGACCTCAAGTCTGGATACCACCACATCGACATCCACCCATCATGCTGGAAGTTCCTTGGCTTCGAATTCGACAAGCGCACATACGCATTCCGTTCACTGCCATTTGGCCTCGCGACAGCTCCATTCGTTTTCACGCAGCTGATCAAACAGCTAGCTCGGCGTTGGCGAGAACAAGGCATCCGAGTCATACCTTACGTGGACGACATTCTATTTCTATGCCAGACGAAAGCCCATGCGCAAGAAATCTGCCAGCGGGTGATATTGGACCTTAAAGAGGCAGGACTTGTGATAAACGCGAAGAAATCACAGCTGTCACCATCACAACGCCTTCGATTCTTGGGTGTAGAACTTGAGACAGACACCGGCCGATTCTCCATCGGTCCCGACCGACGAGCCTCGCTACATTCAACCATCCAGAACCTCCTGAGCACAAGCAATGCGTGCCGACCAGTCCCGGTCCGCCACATGGCCAGAATCACAGGCATGCTGGCATCAATGGGTGTCGCACTCGGCGCGACCGCTCGTGCATTCAGCCACGCCATGTTACAAGTGATCAACGATGCACCGTCATGGAAAAGCAGCGCGGTCATTCCCCCATCCGCTGCAGCAGAGCTACACTTTTGGCTTGAGGAGTTTGACCGGTTCAACGGTGCACCTTTTCATGTCCGGAACAGCTACGATGCAGTAATCCATGTGGATGCCAGCTCTCACGGTTGGGGCGCCACTCTGAACACATTCTCTGGTGGCCGTGAAGAAGCTAGCACAACCATGTCAGAGCTGCTACGAGCAACGTCTAGCACGCGGCGGGAGATCGAAGGCGTCCTTTGGGCGCTCCAAACGTACGCCAACAAGATCAAGCAGAAACACGTTCTCGTGCGTGTGGACAACCAGGGCGTATTCTTCATCCTTCGCAAAGGCGGCTCTCGTAGCCCCGACCTCACAACGACCTGCAAGAGCATCATCCGCACATGCATGGAGCTCGGCACGCGCTTGATCATCGAATGGATTCCGCGCGAGCTCAACTCACACGCCGACGAGCTTTCAAAAATGGTGGACCACGATGATTACGCATTGAAAACGCCGTGGTTCCGCATCTTGGAACGTCGTTGGGGTCCCCACTCCATCGACCTCTTTGCCAACTCCCGCAACACCCAACTGTCGCGCTTCTGCACAAAGATCCCCCACCCGGAAGCCATCACAGTTGACGCGTTCTCGATCGCATGGACATCCGAAAACAACTTCGCTTTTCCCCCACCACAACTGGTCCCAGCTGTCCTACACCATGCACAACGCACCCATGCATCACTTACGTTGATAGTACCGCACTGGCCAGGCGCAAGTTGGTGGCGACTTTTGCAGCCCTCCCCATGCACTTGGGCCCCACACATCCACGCGCACATCCCCCTGACACACGGAAGCCAATGCCTAGATGTAGGGTCCCATTCCAGTGCCTTCTCGGGCACGGGACTACCGCACAACCCAATCATTGCACTGCGAGTGGTTTTTGACTAATTCATAGTGTATGCGCCTGTGTTCATATTTGCTCCCGAAGCTACACGACCAACTGTTTAACATGCTCGCACAATCCCGCGCTGACTCTACGATCCGAACATACGAACCATACTGGGCCAAGTTTCGAGCCTTTTGCACAAAAGTGCATCTTCCCTTTCTTCCAGCTTCTGACATGACCCTCGCACTATACCTGGTACACGCAATCCGACGCAAAGCCACCCTGTCCGTAGTGCAGCTGACGTGCTCGGCAGTCAGCTTCGCCCATCGCATGACTGGGAGCAAACGCCCGACAATCGGACCATTCACCACCCAAGTGCGTGACTGTGCAAAACGACATTGCCCTCGCCCTACTCGTCCGAAGGAACCCGTATCGATCCAACAAGTCTTCGGCCATGCTTCAACTAGCAAAGGTCAGGCGAGGCCACCTTCATACACTACAATCCGCAACTGGTGCAAGGAAGCCTTCGCAAAGGTTGGCCTCGGCGAGCTGCAGCTCGGCACTCACTCTTTCCGAAAAGGCGCAGCTACAGTAGCAGCCAACACTGGAGTGCCAGACAGAGTCTTCAAACGGTTGGGCAGATGGCGGAGCGACACAGCAAAGGAAATGTATGTCACGCCATACATCGAGCCTCTCATCAAAGCCTCCCGCAACCTACAAGATCCGACGCATGCGGTGACTTCCGCACAACACACAGAGGCACTCGTACGTAACCGAAGGCCCCCGCTGCCTATGTCTCGGAGACCCCATTTGTAATGAGAACGATGCCAATTGATAAGAATAAGAAAGCAAGCTTTCTCAATATTATAATTTTTAAACACACATAGCGTTTTTCAAAATTGTGTATTGTGAAAGCGAAGCTGCTTGTATTGCACAATTGGCATCGTCGAAGCACGCTAAACGCCCTTCTCCAACTACAAAAACCGTGGGTTGGAGCTAATTTCCTCCACCCGCGTTTCTCTATTTTCAAACGGCTCACTCAACCTTCCCACCACCCACCCCAGCGAAAACCGTTTTGCGCATGCCACTTGGATAGGGTATATCGTAGCTAGTGATATGAGCATGCACTAGCTTGTGTTCAATTGTGATGCAAATGTTGTAAACAGCCATTTGTAATGAGAACGATGCCAATTGATAAGAATAAGAAAGCAAGCTTTCTCAATTACATGTTTTACGCGACCAAACCTGGTATCCTCTCTTAGATCGAAATCGATTTCATCAGTGCTACTACACCACATAGCTCTGAAATATCAGTGTCGTATAATCGATCACTTTTTTTTTTGTAAGCGTCTAAAACAAAACCAGTCTTGTAAAAAAGGGTGCATAGTCAAACCCGCACTTATAGTAAGGGTCATAAGGGTGAATCACCCTGATATCGAGAGGCCTGACTTACGCCAACACACACAGCTGGTATTTATGCCACAGAATATATTTTTATTCGTTTTATTTGTTTGCACCCTGACTTTTAAGAGCAGTTTCTGTGAAGCACCCTTTCTAAAAGGTAAAGGCTGGGTGTTGGCCTTACGAGAAAGAGTACCCCAAATCCTATCCAGAGGCCTGGCGTAAGTAATTAAAAGTCAATAGTGAAGGTGCTACGACCGGTCAAAGCACCAGCCTCGCCACTAGCATTCCCGAGTCGGGCTGAGGCAAACCCCCCTTCCCCAGCCCCAGCAGCTGATGCACCCAGTGCATTCCTAGACTGAGTTGACTCTTGAGTCGACTCAAAAGTCATCTGGCTGAGGCAAAACCCCCTCCCCCAGCCCCAGCAGCTGATGCAGCCAGCGCATTCCTAGACTGAGGTGGAACGGGGCGAGGGGGGCGGCGGGGCAGGTGAGTGTTGTAAGGCCGTCTGTAGTGGAGAGGGTTGGTGTGCATGCGCGGCAAAGAATCCTGCGGGGAGGCGGTAGGGTCAGAGGCGTAAGCGCTACTGTGTGGGTTTGCAAAGCGGTTGTGCGCGGTATGGGAGGGAAGGGAGGGGTTTGCAGGGTCGTAGTAGGAGGGAGGAGGGGAGAAGTGAGAGAAGGAAGGAGAGTCGGCGAGAGGTGAGGGTGTGTTGGAGGGAGGAGGGGAGAGGTGGGTGGTGCTTCCTGGGTGCTGCTGCTGCGCGTGGCGTTGGGAGGTTTGGAGGGCTTGGGGGGTTTGGTTAGAAGGTGGATAGAACAATGCGTTTGAGGTGGGAAGGAATGGTTCTGTGGAGGATGTTAGGAGGGAAAACTGCTGCAGCTGCTGTTGGTGTTTCTGTTGCTGTTGCTGTTGCTGTTGCTGTTGCTGTTGCTGTTGCTGTTGCTGTTGCTGTTGCTGCTGCTGCTGCCACTGATGCTGCTGCCGCAGCTGATTCCCATCAATCTCCTCTTGCTCAGCATGCACTCGCATCACCTCCCGAGCTCGCACGCTCACCCCCCCACCAGGGACCTCCTGCCTCTCCTGTTCAAATGAAAACATGTCGCCACTGTCACAGTCCAATACAGTCACAATACTCTCACTTCCACCGCCCAATGCAGGTGCGGGTGTGCTCTCCTCTGCCGCACCAAGCTTCCAAACCGGTTGGCCAGCCTCCGGAGGTTTCCGAGCCTCCGGATGCAAGGAGGAGTTGGGGAAAGAGGAGGAGGGGGGGAAGGAGTTGGGGGCAAAGGAGTTGGGAGAAAAAGAGATGGGGGAGACGGGCTGTTGCTGGTCATATGGAGGGGCTGTGTGTTGAGAGCGCAATGGGGAGTGGGGGGGGACTATGGGGTGGGAAGGGGAGTGCGCATGGGGGGAGTGAAGGGGGGAATGGGGGGAGTGCAGTCCTTGTGTGGGGGACCGCAGGGGGGAATGGGGGGAGTGCATGGGAGCGTGGGGGGAGAGTGGGCCAGCATGAGGGGAGTGCATGGGCGCATGGGGGGAGTGAAGGGGGGAATGGGGGGCGTGGGTGAGACCACGGGGGGAGTGCATAGGAGCGTGGGGGGAGTGTGGGACAGCATGTGTTGAGTGCATGGGCGCATGGGGGGAGTGCATGGCCGCTTGGGGGGAGTGCATGGGCACATGGGGGGAGCGTGGGGCAGAATGGGGATAGTGCATGGGTGCACGGGGAGAGAGAGGGGCAGCATGAGGAGAGTGCATGGGCGCGTGGGGGGACTGCATGGGTGCATGGGGGGAGTGCATGGGCGCATGGGGGGAGAGTGGGGCAGCATGGGGGGAGTTCCTGGGCGCATGGGGGGAATGCATGGGCGCATGGGGGGAGTGTGGGGCAGCACGTGGAGAGTGCATGGGAGCACGGGGGGAGTGCATGGGCGAATGTGGGGGTTGCATGGGAGCACGGGGAGAATGAAGGGGCGAATGGGGGGAGTGAGTGAGCGTGTGTGGAGAGCGCAAGGGAGAATGCAGGGGAGCATGTTCAGACATATGCTGCATCTCAACCGGCCCATACACGCTCTGGGAGGGGCTAGCAGGCACATGCTGCATGAGTGTTTGAACAGGGCTGGTGGTGGGGTATTGGACGAGTGCTTGTATAGGGCTGGAGGGGGGAGCAGAGTGTACAGCCATGCTTTGAGGAGAGGTGGGCTGCTGCGGCCGCTGCCCTTGCTGCTGCCATGGCTGCTGCTGCCCCTGCTGCTGCCCCTGCAGCAGCTGGCCCTGCTGTTGCCACGGCTGCTGCATCAGCTGCTGTTGCTGCTGCCCCTGCTGTGGTGAAAGTGGCGACAGGGGGGCCCTCTGCTCTAGCCGCTGTGAGGCCAGCTTATCCCGAGAAAGAGGGGAAGAAAGAGGAGAAAGCGGAGAAAGAGCGGACGGAGAGCGCAAGGGAGGGGTAGGAGGAGGGGGCAGGCCGGCACGAGGGCTTCGGGCAGAGGGAGAGCGGATTGCAGTGTGGTTGTGAGGGCTTAAAGCCTGGCTTTTGGGGCTCTGTTGGTTGAAGAGCTGATTGGGAGATGCACGAGGGGGGCATGCCACTGGGCCCGGCCTCTGTGCCCTGTAGCTGCTGCTGCTGCTGCTGCTAGTGTTGCTGCTGCTGCTGCTGCTAGCGCTGTTGCTGCTGCTGCTGCTACTGTTAGTGTTGCTGCTGCTGCTGCTGCTGCTGCTGCTACTGTTAGTGTTGCTGCTGCTGGTGCTGCTGCTGCTGGTGCTGCCACTGCTGCTGTTAATGATGCTGCCAGTGCTGCTGCTACTGCTGCTGCTACTGCTGCTGCCGCTGCTGCTACTGGTAGTGCTGCTGCTGCTGCTGCTGCCAGCGTTGCCAGCGACAGCATTGGCAGCAGGGAGGGTAGAAGCAGAGCTGCGGCCAGCACGGGCCTGCAGAGGGCCTGACAAGGCCCGGCGCTTGGGAGGCGCATCCAGCCCTGGCCGAGCCGGGGAGGAAGAGGAGGAGGAGGTGGAGGGCCGGAGGAGAATCTGATCTTCTTGCCTCAAATCAAGACTTTCGGATGCAGCGGAAGGGCTTGGCCTGGTCTGGAGCGGGGAGGTGGAGGGACGGGAAATCTTCTCTTCTTGCCTCGGGTGAGGATCGGACGGGGAGGAAGGGCCAGGCCTGGCCCGGAGCGGGGAGGAGGATGTGGCGGGCTGTTGACGTACCTGGTGCTCTTCAGAGGAATCGAAACCGTTGATTGAAGGAGAGGGGCTCAGGTGCTGTCGGATGGGTGCGGAGGACATTGACGGCCCTTGACCTCTTGCCTGCCCCTGCTGCTGCATCTGCCCCTGCTGCTGCATCTGCCCCTGCTGCTGCATCTGCCCCTGCTGCTGCATCTGCCCCTGCTGCTGCATCTGCCCCTGCTGCTGCATCTGCCCCTGCTGCTGCATCTGCCCCTGATGCTGCATCTGCCCCTGATGCTGCATCTGCACCTGTTGCTGCATCTGCCCCTGATGCTGCATCTGCCCCTGATGCTGCATCTGCCCCTGCTGCTGCATCTGCCCCTGCTGCTGCATCTGCCCCTGCTGCTGCTGCATCTGCCCCTGCTGCTGCTGCATCTGCCCCTGCTGCTGCATCTGCATCTGCTGCTGCACCTGCTGCTGCAACTGCCCCTGCTGCTGCTGCGTCTGCCCCTGCTGCTGCTGCAACTGCCCCTGCTGCTGCTGCATCTGCCCCTGCTGCTGCTGCTGCATCTGCCCCTGCTGCTGCTGCATCTGCCCCTGCCCCTGCCTTTGCATCTGTCCCTGTGCCTGCCCCTGCCCCTGCCCTTGCAGCTGCATCTGCCCCTGTTGCTGCATCTGCCCCTGCCCCTGCCCCTGCCCTTGTAGCTGCATCTGCCCTTGATACTGAATCTGCTCCTGCATCTGCCCCTGCTGCTGCATCGGCCCTTGGTCTCTGAATTCCTGCTGCCGCCCAGAAGAGGACAAAGAGGGCCGCTGGGCGGCAGAGGAGGGTCGCTGGGCGGCAGAAGAAGGCCGCTGGGCGGCAGCGGAAGACCGCTGGGCGGCAGCTGAAGGTCGCTGGGCGGCAGAGGACGGCCGCTGGGCGGCAGAGGACGAGGTACGCTGGAGATTCCCAGGGCCAAGGCGGGAGGGCACGGCAGGAAAGGACGAAAGAGCGTCGGGCGTCTGGACGCGATTCAGCTGCGTTGGGTCGTCGGTGTGCCGCCGCAGCAGTCGGCGGTTACCCGGGGTAGAGTTAGGGTTACCCCGGCCACGCCCACTGCCAGCAGCAGCACCAGCAGCAGCAGCAGCAGCAGCAGCAGAGCCACCAGCACCACGACCACGACCACTGCCAGTGCTGTAACCAGCTCGCCTAGAGGCATCTGGGGCGTAGCCACTTGCAGCCACAGGCGCCAGCCCCTCATCCTCCTCCTCCCCGTCTTCTCCTGATCCTGAGAGGAATTGCACTGAAGAGGAGGACGGCTCAGCTGCTGCTGCTCCTCCTGCTGCTGCTGTTGAGGGTCGGAACTTCTCATAGTTCCGAAGAGAGAGAGTGGCAGACGGAGAGCCCGAGGCTCGACCACCAGCAGCACCACCACCCCTACCCCTACCCCTACCTCGGCCACCTATCCGGCCACTACTTGCCCCAACTGCTGACGTAGCAGAACTAGCAGCCCTGTGTCCTGTAGCACCTGTGGTAACAGCATTAGCTGTAACACCTGTGGTAACCCCATCGCCCATTGCTACACTCCCTGTGCCGCCCATGCCCCACTCACCTAGCCCAACCTCCACGCCCCCAGCTAAGCCCCCACCTGAGTCAGTTACACCTCCATCCACGTCAACGTCCACGTCATCCCCCTCCAGCTGCCCCATGAAATCCCCAGCGTTGCCAAGCGATGCCGACCTCATTATAAATGCCCCACCGGCCCTGCCGCCCGCCCTGTCGCTCGCTCTGCCGCCCACCCTGCCGCCTGCTCGTCCCCCCCCTGCAGCGGCTCCTCCCCTTGCCGCTGGCGAGCCTCTGTAAGTGCCATATCCCTGCCTCTCCCCCCTACTCCTTTCGCCATTCCCACCACCCCCATCACCCCCACCACCCCCACCACCCCCACCACCCCCACCGCCCCCACCGCCCCCACCGCCCCCACCGCCCCCACCAGCCTCATGAGCCTCAACATCCCCGCCAGCAGCGCTGGTCATACCAAGAGCAGCATCAAACCCATCACCCGCAAAGCCAGCACTAGCACCGGAAAGGCCCGCACTAGCACCAGCAGCTTCCAATCTCTCCTCTCCTCGGCCGTGCGACGACCTATCAGTGTAAGGGTCATGAGACGCGCTTCTGGGAACGCCCCTACCACCACCACCACCACCACCACCACCACCACCACCACCACCACCACCACCACCACCACCACCACCACCACCACCACCACCACCACCACCACCACCACCACCACCACCACCACCACCACCACCACCACCACCACCACCACCACCACCACCACCACCACCACCACCACCACCACCACCACCACCACCACCACCACCACCACCACCACCACCACCACCACCACCACCACCACCACCACCACCACCACCACCACCACCACCACCACCACCACCACCACCACCACCACCACCACCACCACCACCACCACCAGTACCACCTCCTCCTAAACCTCCTCTACGCTGCCCCCCCTGCCCTGGCCCCACCCCTACTACCCCATGCTGTTGCTGCAGCTGCTGCTGCTGCTCCGCCAGTCGCCGCCTGTACTCCTCAAACTTGCTCACATACGCCACGGCAGACGCCCGCGAGCCTGTGCCCGTGGACGGCCGAGATCCGCCGGCTGCCTGCTGCATGGACGGCTGAGATCCGCCTGCCCCCGCCTGCTGCTGTGCGCCTGTGCTTTGCTGCTGCTGCTGCTGCCACTCCTTTCCCGGGTCGATCACGAGAATCTGCGCGTCTGGGCTTGTTGCATTGCTGGGGGGCTGTGCCCGTGCATGTTGCTGCTGCGTCTGCTGCTGTAGCTGCTGCTGCGTCTGCTGCTGTAGCTGCTGCTGTAGCAGCTGCTGCTGAGTTCCCGCTGCGCCCTCACTGTCTCCTGCGCCCAGTTGATCCACCCCGAACGTGTGAAGGACTCCATTGGGGAACTCCTGAAAGCCGCCAGCAGCAGCAGCAGCAGCAGCAGCAGCAGCAGCAGCAGAAGCAGCAGCACCACCCCCTAAAGACGTGCCAGCAGTTTCAGCAGCAGCAGCAGTAGCAGTAGCAGTAGCAGTGGAAAGAGCAGGGCTATTGTTGCTAGTTACCCTTAGGTATCCATCCATGCTAGTCTGGCTTAGTGAATACGCCCTAGGCCGATCTGTACCGGACCCAAACCGTATTGACTGCATTGACCGCGTTGACTGACTCTTGAAACCATCCGCCCCTCCTTCTGACCCCTGAGGCGCCTCAAAAGTCGACCTTGACCTCTCTGACCATGACGCAAACCGCATTGACTGCATTGACCGCGTTGATTGATTCTTGAAACCATCCGCGCCTCCTTCCGACCCTGACCTCCCTCCCCCGCCCCTCTGCCCTGCACCGTAACTAGCCCCTGCACCGTAACTCCCCACATCAAAACTCCCTCCACCAGAATTCCCCCTACCGTAATTCACTCCATCAGTCCCGGATACAACTGCCCCAGATCCCACCGAATCAGATCCCACCGGATCAGATACCACCTCCCCCTCCAGCGGCTCCCCATCGTCCTCCTCTAGGTCCGCCTGCCACGCCCTGTGCCTCCGCCCGCTCTCTGACGCCATCCGCGGAAGCCTAAACCTCGCTATAGCGGACCTCGATAAAGGCAACGGAGGCCCTGCCTTCGGCCCCGCGGAGCTTGCGCCCTTTCCGCCTGAGGCCCCCGGCCCTCCGCCTGGCGCCCCCAGCCCTCCACCTGAGGCCCCCAACCCTCCGCCGTAGGGGGAGGGGGAGGAGGTAGGGACGGCCGCGCCAGCAGCAGGACCAGCGTAAGGGCTAGCGTACGGGCTGGCGGAAGGGCTGGCGGAAGGGATGGCGGAAAAGCTTGCGCCACAGGCGGAGAAGCTCCGCTGCCGTGAATATGACGGTCCCTGGGGGGGATTTCGGTTTGGAGTTTGGTTCGGAGTCTGGTTCAATGGTGGAAAAACACTTCCCCCAGAGCTTACGCTTCTCCCAGCGGAACCGCCGCTTCCCCTTCCGCTAGCCCCAAAGTTCCTCCCCGCTGCTCCCCGCTGGCTTCCGCCACTGGCTTCCCCCGGTTCCCTCCCGTCGTCCGCGGAGCTTCCCCCGGCGCCACCCACGGAGCCCCCGAACATCTGATGCAGCGCGTCTGACGCGGACAGCGCCAGGCCCCAGTGTGATCCGACGCCAGCGGAACGGCTACCGGCGCTTCCGCGCGAGAGCCCCGCGTGGGAGGCATCGGCGGGAGCTGCGGGGCTTGCCGCCGCGGAGAAATCTCTATCTGCGGGGACTTCTAGCCTGGTAAAGAACGAGTCCTGCGCCGTCTGCGCTGCTGCGCCGGCAGCCTCTCCGCCGCGCACCTGCTGCGCGGCTCCGCGCGCCTCTCCGCTTTCCCCGCCGCCGGACGGCTTGAATGAATGCGCGGGTTTCGGCTCCTGCGCGAGCGAGCGCACGAAGGTCTGGAAATCCATGGCGGAAAGCGACGTGGCGCGTTGGACCTTGTTCCACACGCGCTGCCGCACGCTGCCGGAGCGCTGGCGACTTGGATTGGACGACTTAAGGAAATTCACGGCGCATCCAGCGGGCATTGTGGGAGACTGAAGCGAGTCATCGTACCCGTCGTCCCCGTTTGTAAATACTCCGCCATGGTTTTGTTGGTGCTGCTGGTAGGATTGGTCATTGTTTTGTAGGTATAGTGGAGCGGAATGGAAATCGGGGTTGTTAGGGTTGTCGTTATCCGCGCGTGGCGACTCCACCCATAACTCGTCCATAGCTTCTAGAATCGCATGGATGATTATCGACTTCGCTCAATTCTCATCATCCATACCTAGGATCGCATCGTTCGTGAATGGCGAACGGCTTTTGATTGGATGGCATCAACATCAGTGCATTATTATTATCACCCTTCAGCCAATCACTTACACAACACCACAAACTCAAAACATGGTCCAGAAATTCTCCGAGCTCTTCAAGCTTTCTCACAGTTGGTGGTGAGTCCGATGCCCTGCTGTTGCTCCCAAGGTGACCAGGACCAACCAAAGAAGCACCACTTTCCTCTCCTCGAATCCGAACCGAACTGATCTGTGCAGAGAGTTTCAAGGCCGTGACGGATGGATCAGGGCTTGGGACGGAATGTGGTTGTGACTTAACACATCTAGCCTGTTCAATTTTAATCGGTTCAGAGGCATCTACAGCGTTACAGAGCGTTCCTCTTCCGTACATCAACGATGCACATCATAATCACACTCCAAGAGCAGCAACAGTCGAGTCGAGTGGAGGGCCAAGAAGCATCATGAAACCGTACAGGTCCGTTACCAGAAAGTCGGTTTCCACGAAGAATGTGACTTGGGCCGGGCAGGGCCCTGCCCGCAAATCTTCTCTAGCTCTTCCTTTGCAACGTCCAACACCATCGAAACCACACATAAAGTGAATATAATAATTATCAGAGTTTGTTTTCTTGTGGACTATTCTGTATACATTCAGTCTCGACCGTTTTTAGAGAGCAGTTCCGCACGTGCGATGTGCTCCATGCAACAAGCAGGGTGCGTGTGTGAAACACCAGGGAACTTCTGTTCTCTGTACTCTAATATGTACTGTTATGCCGTATAACGTCTGTCTACATTGCAACAGAGGCTTGTGTATAACCAGGTGGTCTGTTATAAACGCGGGTACTGCTCAACAAATTCCAGACAGCTTGATCAGATTGATGCGTTCCATTTTCACCTTCCTTTTTCTGAAGAATCGCTAGCACAATGGCGGCTCCTGCTGTTTCTCTGGTCGCCCACTCGTCCACGCAAGCAGCTTCCGTGTCTCGCGTCGTCGCGTGCGAATCGAGAGCCACAAGCAGCCAGCAACAGTTCCCTTCTCCTCCCCACGTAACCCGCGTCGCCGCTTCTTCCTTCACACATGCGACGACGTTCCCATCTCGTATCCACACACCGTGTGTTTCTCACTCCCTTCGATCGCGACAACTTACTACAGGCTGGCCGTACGGACGCCGAGTAGTAGCAGCGTCGAATGCGGGCACCACTATTGTCGCGTCTGCTTCTGTCGGGGACGTGAACGAGGCGATTAAAGACGCGGCTAAGGAGGGCGACGTTGCTGCTGTGAAGCAGCTATTGGCAGGCGGAGGTGTCGACATTAACTTACCTAGCCCTGAACGATCTGGTTGGACAGGTAACCCTAGAAAACGATTATAATGATATATATTTCGTACAGGATAGCGACTGTTGCGTTCGAGTACAGGCAGGAAACACGAGACTATACACGAGACTAAAGGTAGGTAACACGGGAATACAGGCTGGTAACATGAGGGTACAAGCAGGTAACACGAGGGTACAAGCTGGTAACACGAGGGTACAAGCTGGTAACGTGAGGGTACAAGCTGGTAACGTGACGGTACAAGCTGGTAACGTGACGGTACAAGCTGGTAACGTGACGGTACAAGCTGGTAAATTGCGGGTACAAGCTGGTAGAGAATAGAGGCTGGTAACCAATGCAAGTTTGTTATAGGCTTGAAGGTGATGTGAGAGTGCATTGAATGGCTTGAAGGTGATGTGAGAGTGCATTGAATGGCTTGAAGGCGATGTGAGAGTGCATTGAATGGACAACCTGCCTACCACTTTGATTATTTCACAATCGAACGCATTTCACCAGAAACCACACAAAAAAACGTCATTCTATGCCATTCTTTTACGGAGAAGCATTCTGGAGCTTCCGAGGCAATTTACCTCCATGGCAATTTACCTCCATGGCAATTTACCTCCATGGCAATTTACCTCCATGGCATTTTACCTCCATGGTAATTTACCTCCATGGTAATTTACCTCCATGGTAATTTACCTCCATGGCAATTTACCTCCATGGTAATTTACCTCCATGGTAATTTACCTCCATGGCAATTTACCTCCATGGAAATTTACCTCCTTGGCAATTTACCTCCATGGAAATTTACCTCTTTGGCGATTGACCCGCCGACACAAACCCTCTCCCCCCCCATCCCCTTCCCCTTCCCCCCTCTCCCTCGTCCCTCCTCCCCCCCTCCCCCTCCCCTGCAGCGTTGCACCTGGCGCGTTCTACGAGCATCCAGAGGTCGTCCAGGTGCTTCTGGTTACTTTTGAGTTGACTCAAACCTCCCCTCCCTCCCCCCACACACCCCCCACCCACGCCCCCCCCTGCAGCGTTGCACCTGGCGGCGTTCTACGAGCATCCAGAGGTCGTCCAGGTGCTTCTGGCTGCCGGAGCTGACACTGACGCTCGGAACAGCACCGGCAATACTCCGCTGCAGGTTTGGGAGACCTACGGATTGATAACCCCCGCATAACATAAATTGCATATTTGCACTCTGGGTTGATCATTATAGCATCCCTGTATTCCTTTGACCGCAATTCCCTACCTGTGGTTTGGTTGCACCATCCAATCCAACCGCTTTCCTTTTCCTGCCGTCATGAAAACCCCTCTTTACTGTGCCTCGTCCAATAGTTTCATGCCTAGATATCATATTTTTACCACCAACCACGATATTAATATCATTTCTCCCCTTCCCTCGCCCAATTTGCGTGCATAAAGGGCAACCTGGACGTTGTTCGCATGCCTTTTGAGACTACTAAAGTCAAGTGTCAAAAGCTCTGCCCTTCCCTCTCCCAGTTCGCGTGCATAAAGGGCAACTTGGACGTTGCTCTCATTCTATTGGACGCCGGTGCTGACCTGTACGCCACCAGCGATGACAAGGGGAACGCGCTCGAGTACGCTCAAGGTGCGCACGCAGGTTGGGTGGGTTGGCGTTTGAGTAGCACTGACGTTGATGCCAGTGTTCGAGGTTGGTTGACCTGAACGCCACGAGTGATGACAAGGGGAACGCGCTCGAGTACGCTCAAGGTGAGCACGCAAGTTGTGGGTGGGGCATTTGGTTTGTATTGAGGCTGATGTCAGTGGTCCAGATAACCTGTAGGCCATCAGCGACGACAAGGGAAATGCCCTTGGGTATGCTCTCAAGGTGTGCACGCGAGGTGTCTTTGGGGTTGCATTGGGGTTGCATTGGGGTAGCATTGGGGTGGCGTTGACGGTGATGCCAGTGTTCGAGGTAAACTGCGATGACAAGGGAAACGCTCTCGAGTACACGCAAGGTGCGTGCGCGAGTTGGATTTGAGGTGGTTTTGAGGTGGTTTTGGGGTGGTTTTGAGGTGGCTTTGAGGTGGAGGGTGTTTTTGGGAATTATGCCAACAGCACCAGCGATGACTAGGGGAATGCTCTCGAGTACGCTCAAGGTGCGCAGGCGATGTGGCAATCGGGTGGCGATGAGGTGGCGCTGATGTGGCATTGAGGTGGCATTGAGGTGGCATTGAGGTGGCTTCACGATGATTCGGGGAAGCAGGGTGAGTATGGTAGTGTTGTAAGCGTGTTCTTTAAGTTCTCATGAATTTAGTTGTGCAACAGGGTCTCACAACGCATATGTGCCGAAGGTAGTGTTAGGAACAAGGTATCAGTGGCCAATGGATTTTGCATGGGAATGGGTTTGCTTGAAATGTAATGCTGGTTTCTGGTGTGGATGGTTCTGTGGAAGTGGAGTATTGGCTCATGTGTAGGCCAGTAGTACGGTACCTGGACGGTTGTGTTGATGTGATCAAGAGAAGCCACATGTAGGCCAGTAGGCCTAAAAACTTGGACGTCTCAAAACTTCATTTTCCATGCGTAGGCCAGTAGTATGGTACCTGGGCAGTTGTGTTGATGTGATCAAGATCAGTTGTTTCATGAAGTACATTCTAGGAAAGAAGTTTGTGCTAAAGTATGGACTGATGTGCTGAAGTATGGACTGATGTACTACAACATGTACTGATGTGCTACAGTATGCTACAGCATGTACTGATGTGCCACGGCAACCCTGTTTGGTGTTTTTGTTGTGCTTGCAGAGTGGGGAACTGAAGATATGGTTGACTTTCTCCTGGTTCGTGCAGCCACAGAAAGCAATAAATAAAACTGGCCCTTTTTACCAGCCTGTCGTATGGTATGGTGGTATTACACATACGTGTGAAGCAAGGGTATGAGCATGATCATCTGCTTCGATAGACAAGAGTGGTAGGGAGGGAACCAAGTACCGTAGGTGGATGCCCGACCTAGCTACTCGTTTCATCCTGAGTTAAAGATTTCAACCCTTTCTATCTTCAAATCGTTTGATTGAAGGCATCATCTTTTCTACACTTGCATGTACGGTATGTCAAGCCAAATACCGTACCACTGTGTATTATAAGGTTGTTGCGTGCTACCTCTGCCTCAATCTCAACACAGGCTCCTAAGGTATTTGATCACAATCAACCTATTGAATCTTACAAACAATGTCCTGTTTCTGTCCAACCAACAACTAACTTGCTCGAGGCATAAGCATGCGCCTTATTGCACTGTGCCATGGCCACATATTGGACGAGCAGATTCGGGCATGCCAGAAATAACTTCAAAACAGTGCCCGCTGAGCCTGCCTGTGCCCTTCATGCACGTGAGCCTGTGCCCTTCATGCTCTGTTCATTACTCCGCAAGAGGCTACCTCTGCCCTTCCTGCTCTGTTCACGGATGCTGATATGACCTTTGCGTCGACTAAGAACATACCATCGGCAAAATGGCACCAGTGTCGTACTTGAATTTCATGGATAACCCCCTCTTGCACCTTCCATAGATGCTCAGCGGACTTTTGAATCACACGATGGCGCCAGTGTTGTAATTGAAGAAGTGTTTTGAGACGTCTCAAAACACTTCTTCAATCACGTGGACTTATGAATCACACGATGGCGCCAGTGTCGTACTTGAGTCCTCGTTTGCACCTCCCACGAATGCTGCTGGCGAAATAAGCTCGCTTGGTGTCCTTTGGAATCGGAAGCTTGTAACGGCCACCCCACGTGGTTTGGTGCAGCAGAAACGCTACCGTCAAGTTGCATCTATCAAAGTCCTTCTTGAACGGAGTGACTGCAACGTCATTGAGGAATCCCCGCCACTTGAAGACTGCCAGGTGTGCCACCGCAGGCGAGGGGGCAAAGGGGAGGCAGGATGAAGTAAAATGGGCATAAGGGCAGGGGCATGCATCAATTTGCTGCAACATCATTGAGAAAGCCGCGCCACCTGCAAGGAATGTCCACCGCAGGCAAGGGGGGAAGGCAGGATGTTGCATAATGGGGCAAGTCAGGCACACACCACAGGCATAAGGCACATGCAACACTCTACACGCCTTTCCTGCCCAAGAAAGACACCCTACACGCAGAGTGCACGTCTCACCAAGAGACACTCTACAGGCAGAGTGCAGGTCTCACCAAGAGTGTCCCTTTTGGAACTCATAAACAAAAACACTCTACACGCCTTTCCTGCCTAAGAAAGACACCCTACACGCAGAGTGCAGGTCTCACCAAGAGTGTCCCCCACTCGCAGCACTGGCTTTTTCCAGACCCGCATGCGCCACTCGCTCCATGGGTTCAGACCCCCCCCTCCCACCACCACTGTCTTTGCCTGCTCGGAGGAAATCGTGTGTGAGTGAGTGGGAAAGAAAATTGAATGAGATGCGGTAAGAGACGAATGAGAGAAGAGATGAATGAGAGAAGAGACGAATGAGAGAAGAGATGAATGAGAGAAGAGACGAATGAGAGAAGAGATGAATGAGATAAGAGATGAATGAGAGAAGAGATGAATGAGAGAAGAGATGAATGAGAGAAGAGATGAATGAGAGAAGAGATGAATGAGAGAAGAGATGAATGAGAGAAGAGACGAATGAGAGAAGAGATGAATGAGAGAAGAGACGAATGAGAGAAGAGATGAATGAGAGAAGAGACGAATGAGAGAAGAGATGAATGAGAGAAGAGACGAATGAGAGAAGAGATGAATGAGAGAAGAGATGAATGAGAGAAGAGATGAATGAGAGAAGAGATGAATGAGAGAAGAGATGACTGAGAGAAGAGACAGAATGAGAGAAGAGATGAATGAGAGAAGAGATGAATGAGAGAAGACATGAATGAGAGAAGAGATGAATGAGAGAAGAGATGAATGAGAGAAGAGATGACTGAGAGAAGAGAAAGAATGAGAGACGAGACGAATGTGATACTGTAACAGACGAATGAGAGAAGAGATGACTGAGAGAAGAGAAAGAATGAGAGAAGAGAAAGAATGAGAGAAGAGATGAATGAGAGAAGAGAAAGAATGCGAGAAGAGAAAGAGTGAGAGAAGAGATGAATGAGAGAAGAGAAAGAATGCATGGGAGATGGGTTAACGACACTCAAACCCATCACCGCTGTCTTGGAAGTTTGAAAAGGAAGGATTAACGAAAGAGAGCACGACCAATATATTTCGGGGGACAAAGGAACAGAGAGGGGCGAAGGGAAAAAAGGAAGAGGAAGGGAGGAGGTGGATGAATAGCAGGCTTCACGACCAACGGCTCATGAGTTGCCTATTCTTCCGATGTGAGATGGTTGTTTTGAAGGTCAACAGCATGCCATGAGAGTCAGGCTGTCTCGGGCAAACAAACAGTGAGGCGCCTCAAGAATCACTTCGGTGCGGATTGGGTGTGTGAAAGGTTAACAGCATGCCATAAAAGTCAGGCGGCATCTCAGCCATTTCACGCCACCCCATCCCATGTGATAAAAGGTCGACAGCATGCCATGACAATCAGGCGGTCTCGGGCAGATCGTGAGGCGCCTCAAAATTCACTTCAGTGTGAAATCGACCGAGTCGCCAGTGCGAAAAAAAAACTGCCATGGCAAAGCGTTGGGCGTTGAACGGCCTCGAAGGGAGCGGCTCTAGTAGTCAAATCTGAACGCGTGGAGCCTTCAAGCGTTGCACGCCTTATGCAAGAGTCGCTCAGAAACAACAGCTGGGCAAAACGGTATCATAAGAAGGTTCTTTGACGCGGCCATGCTCGCAAAAAGCTGCGCAGTTACCGCGGAGCCTAAACGGTACGGTACGTAACGGAAGGTGGGAGAGAGGGAGTAACCGAAAGAGTAAATTCTGCTTCGAGAAGGAAGTCATGGTCGGTGCGGATAGCCGCTGGTGGGCTTGTTAAGGACAGCCATTCGGGTGAATGGTCTCTTTATTTGTGTCCAGGCGAGGAAGACTTAGAATCTATTATTTTGTGGATCACCCATTTCTGCTCGGGTGGCGATACTTCCACGGCGCAGTCACCCTCCTCACTAAACGCGTGCTTAGCGAAAGGTGAACGGCCATGCAGCTGGTAAGTGCGTGCTTAGCGAAAATAGTATCTTTGGAACTTCCAAAGATATGTTCAGAACCGAACTTCTGAAACTGGCACATCCGTACGAAGCAAGAACTATTATTGGTCGAACGAAGGGACGCACTGGCAGATGTGCAAGTACGCACAGCGGCGACGCCAGGAAATAGCTTAAGGAGCACCGCCGATGCACACTGCGATGAAGCTAAGAACGTCGGTGGTCGGCATATATTGGAGTGCTTATGGGGGAATGTGTGAACTGCTGCCGCATGGACTCAGGAATGGTGGTGTACGGACGAGGTAGTGTAACAACGAGCAGAAAAGCTGCTGGTCAATCAGGGCAATGACAACAGCATTCAACAGCAAGTCATTCGTTGAAAGTTCGAGAGATGACGCACGCAGCAATGTGTGGTCGAGTTTCTAGGAGCTAGGGGAACATTGCAGCAATGTGTGGGTTGCAGAAGAAACGGTCGCCCCGCCGCCGCCACCGAGGCAGGACTTTTTCTGGCCCTTCCCCCTTGTTTTCAGCTAGGCGACACCGAAAGATGCGAGCGAGGGCGAACCTGCGGAAGCGACTCGGGGCATTAGGTGCCACAACACCGTATTCCCGCGATGCTTGTCATAACGAGGTAGCGAATGCATTAGTTCCACAACCCCTACATCGCTGTACTCCTTATGTTGTAGATTGTGGGAAGTGTGAGCGGAAGCTAGCAACTAGTAATTCATTGCAACCTACAACTGCTCAAGTGAAACTTCACTACTCACGACTAGGTCACCAAGTTGGAGTTGTACACTATGAACATAAAACTGGAATTTGTTTGCGACCCTTTCAAAGTGCGCTGCAAGAAACTTAGTTAGAAATAGCCTTTCACTAACTGGCACAGAAATATTACCGTGTGATTCTGAAAATGGTAGAACGAGATACCGGAACATGCCAATTTGAATGAAGGTTTGACACTTGAATGAAATATTGACACTGGACATTAGTAGTTTGTTACAAAACTTGGATCGCGGAGCAATGCCATCGCTCCTACGGCTTCCAACGAGATGGCATCTCGCGAAGTGTGTTAGTATGTGGTTAGTAGGTCAGCGAAAAATGTTCTCTATTCATCCGCAAAACTCAGCGGGAGAAGCCATCCATGTCGTCTGGCATGGTGGAGCCTGCATAGGGCAAAAGAAAGGCGGTTAAGAGCCAACCCATAATAAAACAGCACCAGACTTCTGGGACTGACCTTTGACAGCTGGAATGCAAGAGCAATTTAGTAAATCTAACGCAAACTGGCCAGGGAACGAGAGACAGAGGTTGGAGGCAACTAATGGAACGAGGAGAATGGCGACTCACTGTGTATCCGCTGGAGTGCGGCCGCTGTTACTACAATCGCGGCGCACCATGACGAGAATGTGAGCGCTCCAGCGACAGCTACACATTTAACGAGAACGACACCAGGAACGAAACCTCCTAACACAGCAGCACCGACGTCCCAAATCTGTCCGGCCTCGAACAACGAACTACGCTTCGACTCGAATTGGCAGGCCGCACCGTGGTAAAACTCCTGAAGCTCCATGGCAGACGGATCCATGGCTACGGCCGAACAGCTCGAATTCAGGAGAAGTTTACAGGGCGACTGAACAGCATTCAGAACTTAGGTGGTGCTGGAGCCTGAAGGCACTTCTAAGTGGGGAAACGCATACAGATTTTGGTGATGTCTAAATTCTCAGTTCACGCTGATGCACAGTGCACACAGACAGAGCTTTGGCAGTTGGAGGAACTCTGGTCC